ATTGAGCAAACTGTTTACAATTATGACACAGTAATGATACAAAGAAGTAAAATTCAGGTATTAAAGATAAGTAAAGTAAAATTAAAATTATTTAAAGTAATATTAACTTATGAGAAACGTTTGATAATGAATGAAATTAAATAAAATGAAAAAGGCATTTACTATGGTATGAGAGTGATAAGTGAAATAAATAAGTTTTAAATGCAAAATAAGCTAAATACTTATCATTATTGTCTAACTTTGTAATGTTTCGTAATTTTTCATTTAATGATTAAATAACTTATTCATATATTTAACTTCACAGTGTTAGTATTGAATCAATACGTGAGGATTCTCAAATTAAAAAACGGATGATAAACGAGAATAAATCTTACCGGCTAATGCAATTGCCGGTTTGCTACGTACCCAATCGATTGCAACAAAGCCATCATCGTGTCTGTACAAAACAATTGCGCTTAATGCGCAAAGTGAAAATAGAACAATGCAAGTTATTGCAAATTTTGGTGATAATGAATCGGCAACTTCTTGTAAACCTTCCGGTAAACTTTCGTTATGGAACATACCGAATTCCAGAATGTCTACAAAAATGAAACACCTGAAAATCTATTAAGAAATACTTTACGAGTGTTGTTTTTTTTTTCCTTTTACTAACTATGCTATACAATTCAATAAATTTGATGCTGAGAATTTCAGAAAAATGAATGTAAATCGATAATTCTTTCTACTAATTTTGGAAGAACTATTTTAATTGATAATTTTATTGACTTTGTTAAAAGTGCAATTGATCACTGTAATATTAATGTATCAAATACACATTCGTAATTCATCCGTTTGAAAGACACAATCCGGAAATGTAGGAAACAGGGAAAGGTTAACATACCGGATGGCGGATTCTTGACGTTAGACAAGAAATCGACAACTTTCTTACGCCACAAATAACTGATATTACCAACTTTTTCATCACGAACATTATAGGTCAGTCGAACAGCTCGCACAAAATTGAAATGACCTTCCTGAAAGTAAGTAATGTTACAAATGCTCAAAAGGTATGATTCAGTTTGTAAACACAAATTGCAATCGTGAAACGTTGAATTGTAACGTAATTAAACAGAATACATCAATCATTTCCTGTTAAATATATATGTCATAGGTCAAAAAATAATTACTGTACTGAATTAATTACTTAATGATTCACAATTTAATTACTTAATCTGAATTAATTACTTAATTTCACATTAATTAGTTATTTTGACTTCTTACGTAATTTGAGGCAATAGTCAAATCACTTCATTAATTTTATGGATTATTTAAAACATTAGTATAGGTCTCGAATTAGACTTTGAAAATAAACTAGGCTTAAAAGTTAATCTGATCCTTTCCAAACTTCTAGCCATTATTTTTTCCAATGTATACAATCTTTAAAAAGATATACTTCATCAATGATATGTGGTGCACCAATTAATGCACCAAAATAGATTGGTTCAGTTCCACGCCAACCGATCGGATAAGTTATTTTAACCTGTAAAAAAAGTATTGCTCATAAATAAATCGTTTTAGAAGTAATGAATATGTGGACAATTTCAAGGAATAGCTCGGATTACGTGTGCTAACAGAATTGGTATGAGAGAAATAATTCATATCAATCAGTTTACTTAAACAAACACATTACTTCCATTCAAGTTATCATTATTTAAATAAATTCATTTAATTGGAAATTGATTAAAATGATGAAAAGATTGCCGTACCTCTTTAGCGATGATATCATTGGTGAATTCAGCTAATTTTGGACCAAAATTTCCCCATCGTTCTTTAGGCATAAGCATTGTCACATGCTCGTTCATAAAACATTTCCAATTATATGACATACACAAATCGGTAAAACCAACTTCATATACCATATCATTATGTATTACTGATATTGTAATATTATGAATAATATACTGAAAATCAATCGAAATCATTACTTATCCTTGAATCAGTCTAAATTTCTCTTCATTAAACTTAATAAATCATTGATTATTAATTGCTGTATTTTTCTGATAAATGATCACAATGATCATACCTTGATAACATTATCTGGTTAATGTGGCAATAACAATGAACTGAATTGCAGCAAAACATATTTTCCTTTTGTTAACTGCAATTTCAAATGACCAATGGAATTGATTTGTGCTAAATTTGTAAATGATTACCTGATTGATCCGTTCTAACTCATCCAAATACTTCATCACTAACATGTTTGGTCGTCCAAATTTTGGATGTTTTATTCCGGCAGCTATAATATCAACATATCCTGCATAGTCGTAACTTTTTCCAGGCCAAAATTCCTGCTCATTTAAAGGCCAATGCTCACTTAGGATCTTTTTCTCGTAGCGCCATTGTGCATTTTTCGGTGAGAAAACATATTCCGGATCGATTGTCGTCTGTAAAATTTCATATTTTTTGCAATATGATGAATAAATTATTTGATTATAAACTTATTTCGAATGGATTAAAATATTTAATTGATTGATCTTTATGTGAATACTTTATTTGATGATCATTTCGATTATAAATCCTCTCTTAATTTAATGTTTGATAAAGAGAAAAAACAAATAGATGAACTTGAAACGGATCTCTTTTGTTCAACAAAAAAAGTTTGCCTGTTTTTTGATAAATAAAAATCCAAGGCCAAGGACAATTGTCAATATGATTGGCCCAATAAATAAAGCAAATCGTGAGCGATAAGCAATGAAACCCCATCGGTAGAATAATTGTTGTATGAGATTATCAAAAGATAGAACCATTGATTTGTCTAAATTTTAGACCTTTAATTAGGTCAGAAATTGAAAGATAACAGACAATTTACAAAGAATATTACAATAAAAATATAATCTAAGTTCTGGAAATATTCAACTATTATTATTGCATAGATAAAGTAATTGCTGCAAAGAGGAAAATTTTTAATTTCAAAAATATATAAAAGTAAATTCTAAAATGCGGAATTTAATTGCTGCAATCATCGAAAGAAAGAAATTTGTGGCGACATTGAAATTGGCACTACACGAAATCTGTTTTGCTCAGTGGTTGAATTATCCGTCACATACCCGTTCGATCGAAATGATCACATACTGCCCGAATCGTTGGTGACAATGACGATGACAGAAGACGAAACGATAACGATGGTGATAATATGGATAATTGGATTGAAAAAGAAAATCTAATCAAAAAAAAGAAATTCCTTTTTCAATCAATAACTAAACAGAACATGAAAAAGTTATCAATATTACCGTTATCATTGTTATCAGTAATGTCAGTATCATTATCAATGACACCATTATCATTAATGTCAGTATAGTTATCATCATCACTGATATCATTATCATTAACGTCGGTATTATCACAATCAGACTGCCAATCTTCTACAATTTTAATCTAAAACTAAAATTAATCACTGTGGTTAATTGTTTTGTTAAATTATTTAATATTAATTTCAAAATTTGTTAAATGTTTGGGAATGCAAAAATTTCGGAGTAATTTTTTCTTTCCATGAGCCGGGAAAAATATGGATTTTGGCGAATGTGAGGATGAGAAATTCAATTGACAATAATAACATTTATCGCATATATTTAATTGGTTAATAATACTTTGCAGATTTTTTTTATTATTTATGCGAGATTAGTACTTAATTAGCTATTTTATGAATGATCTTCAAATGATTTTCTTCAAAATTTTGATATCACTGGAATATTTTTTACTATTAGATTTTAAATTTTATATTTTAGCACTTAGTAAATTATGGTTTTATTGTTGTCATTATTATCGTTGTTATTTTTAATTAATACTAAATGCTCAATTAATATTAAATTTTTTTAAGGCGCAGCAGAATGAGAATGGTCTTTTCGGGTCCGAATATTTATCAAATTTGTTATCAGGGAAATTATTTATTTACGATACAAATAAATAATGTCCATTTGTGAATTGTCAATATTTGCTATCAATAATGTGATAATTGATATCACTAAAAGGATATCATCAAAAGATTTGATAGAAATAATGAAATTATTTGATTGTATTTTGGGATAAATTTCCTCTTTTTATATCATTATTGCATTAATTAATTCCGAATTTAATATGATGTCAGACTATTTTTCATTTCCTATCCTTTTTTGGCTTAAATAAATTGGAAATGCATTGTATTTAACAATTTACACTTCTAAAATATTTGCATTGGAAATTAAATGGATAAGGAAAAATCATATTTATTGAAATCTATTCCAGTAAATATTTCAAATTGTATTCTTTCCCTTTTCATTATCATTATTTTGTCGATCATACTATGATTGTTATTTGTTTATTAATGAATGAAAAAAATTTTTTATATCACATTAACTTGCATTTGCACTGTATAGTAAATTATATTTGTTCCATGAAATTTTAAATTTGAAAAATTCTTTCAAATTTTGGACTTTGATTTGTTCTCAAATTTTAAAATTTCTTAGTTTGTGCTTTATATGGATATTTTGCTTATTCGGCAAAAAAATATACGGATAATTAAATTATGAGAATCATGAATTGGCATTGTTGCACTGTAAACGTAAATTTAAAGAATTTATGAAATTAAAATTTATTAAACTGTATTAAAAACTGTATGACTGAAAAGACAGAAGAAAAATCGATCAGAACCATTTGAAAATTTTTTAAAAGCTAGCTTTTGAGAATGCTACAGAACCAATGTTCCTTCACTGCTTATCTTCAAGTTAAATATTTTGAATTATTCAATCAATCCATTGACAAAAACATACTATTTAAATTAATTTCTCTCTTTCAATTAACAAATTTTAGCGAAATATTTTGCGATTTCACATAAGCTTCCGTAACACACTGCCAATATTTCGTTGAATTTTATCGTTCGTTGCAATATATAAAAATGATTTGCCACCTAATAAAACAAATTTATGTATTTTTCCCATATAAATTATTATTTTTAAAAGAAGGTATCAAAAATTTTCTGAAATAACTGCAATTTTTTTTCAAAGTTATCGTTGGTTTTTAGAAATTATCATCTGATTCTGATCGATTGCTAGCTAATTTTGGCTAAAAGTGTTCAGCAAATTTTATTTTATTCATTTTGATCAATTTGAAAGGAAAAAAGAATTAATTTTAGAAAGAATGGAAACCTTGCAAAAACATCCATGAAATATGAATGAATGGCATCGTGACCGATGGGAATTGGATGAATTGGATGATAAGATACAGTACACAGCACGTTAATAGCAAGAAACAAATAACGACCGATTGTATCAGTATCTGAAAACTCGAATTTGAAATGTGAACATCAAGAAATATTCGATAATTATCGATATGAAATGAAAATTAGATTTCCACAACTGTAAAAATTTAAGCATTGCTTATTAGTTACGTGCAGTTATTTTTTCTTTTTTTTGAACTTTAATTTTTAAATCGTACGTTGAAACTCTAAACTGATTGAATTATCATTAAAATGTTTGAGTTATATTCGCCTGTTCGTCACTGTTTGATGAATTTATATCATCTATAATTGCTTCACAAATTAGTTAATTAATTTTAAGTTGTTCTGAATTAACACAAATTTATTGTTTGTACAAATCCCAAATCACATATATTAATTTAATGATTTTTTCTTATCTTCCTAAGATTTTTGAATTAAATTTTAGGTTTGAAATGAATAACAAACACGGAATTCTGGCTTTGAAATATTCGATCTGTTGGAAACAATGCTAAGTCGTTTACGAAGAATTACTATCATAAATATGTATTGTGCGGAGATGATCACAATAACGCATCCATTATTCAATAAATGACCAAAATTTTCTACCTGAGAATACAAATGAAAAATATCTCAACAATATTTCATGAATTCATGCAAAAGAGGCTATTAAACAGTCTTTTATTTCTTTCCCACATCTGACTGATAAAAAATATTATCATGCTGTAATCATTAGAAATTGAAAATTACCATACTAATCTGCATAAAATGTACAGATACTATAGTAACAGTGATGACAGGAAATATTAACGATGAAATTTTCAATTCTAATTAATTTTGGCGTTTCTTCGTTTTAAAATTAACAAACGATTACAAAAAGAAAAAGTACCACTTTATTGTCTGGATCGAATTCATTAATCCAAACTCCCAGGTAACTGTGATAAAACATTGGCGGACAAATTAAATACATAACAAATGCGTATAAGAATGCCAGAAAAATCCAAAACCATAATCGTAATTGTGTAAAAATCGTCTAAATATGCAATGATATAATTATTTAAAATTATTAAAAAATGATAAAGTTAAATTTCAAAAATATTATTTGTTAAGCTGAGACGAAACTCTATAATCGAAGAACTTAAAAGTATAGTTTACCACTGTTCTTCCAAAGTATAAATTGCAACATCTGTTGAAATTCAAAATGACACATAGCGAACAATGAGCGAACCAGCACGCTAAAAAGAATTCGTGAAATTTCTCGACAAATGGAAAGATGCTAATAAACTGAAATTTGATTGATTTGAAAATTGCCGCATATTGGACTAAAACAGAATTTTCAATTCAGTATTCATGAATGTAAATGTGTTGTGCAATAACAATCTCGCAGTTAACCTGTCAATTTTCATTTTTTTCTGTTCTATTCTATTTAATTTAAATTTGTTACTTTCTGAGAAACAAGATATTTTCAATTATTTACTTAAAGAAATGAAGGTCGAAACATTTTTAAAAGTTGGAACAGTATAATATGAGATTCCAAAAATGGAGAAAATTCCGGTAATTGTACAATCATTAATTGTAGTTATCATATCAACGATACCAATTACGATCATTAATTTGAAACAGGAATGATAACGGCATTCAGGTTGAAAGAATGTTATCAAACATGGCAAATAGGCAATCTAAAATTATTGAATGTAATTTCCCGCATTATTAAAATTTCTGATTGATTAAATTTTTATTAATTGATAAAGCTGCTTATTGAATCATTTAAATCTACATTTTATCACAAAAAATAATATTTTATCAATGAAGCATCTTATCTCTGTAATATGTGTTAATAGGTGAATTAGTCTTAAAATCTCATAAATTATCATCGTTTGCAGGAAGTTTTATAGTAATAAACTTTGTTACCGTTGCACAAATAATTCAAATAATGCGTATTTCTCATTATAGTTTTAGGAGATGAAATTTTACATTTGAAATTTCAGTTAGAAGAGAAAACCTCAAATATGACACTGATTGTGAGGTAAACGGAGCCAATTATTATATTTGGTTTGCCCATTGTTTCATTGATCTTTTCCCATTCAAATTGATCGGCATCGAATATTGTTTCGTTTGAGCTAAAATTTTATTTTCGCTATTTCAGGAAGAAAAATTGGTTGCAAAAAATACTAAATTATTGATTATTTTCTTTATTAAAATAATATAAAATTCTGTTTTTTTTTTCGTTTTATTGATTCAAAAAATTTCTATTTATTGGAAATGAAAATGAAAAAGAGATGAAAAAGATTTTCATCCTTAAACAATAAAATTAAAATAGGAAGGTATTTTGTAGTGGAAATACAAAATATCTTCCTATTTTAATTTTATTGTCTACTTCAAGACTATTCTATAAATATGTCAGTAAACATTACTTGTTCCAAAGCATTCTATTCCGATGTTTCTTTTGACAAATATCTGATCATTTCATTGTAACTATTTCTGATTTGATAAAATTTCATCTGAAATATTGGTAAAACAATCTGAAAAATGTGTATGAAGAAGAATGCATTTAAAAGAAACTAGTAATATGAGATTTTTTGAATATATTTTAAAAATAAGACTGAAATAGAAATCTTAATTTATCTTCCGCTCTCTTTCTGATGCAGTGAAGTTAAATAAATTCATTTGCTAATTAAGGAAAAATCTGAGATGGATGGTTTGTGTTTGATTCTAATTGCAAAGCTGAAAATTAGTGAGGATAAGATAGAGAAATTTGTTTTTCACCAGTAAAATTATTTAGAGAAGCTCGAGGGAAAATTATCAGTTTGAATGAAATCATAAAAGGAAATGATAATTGGTAAGTTTGAACGGCATATTTTTTTAAAGAAATCCATTAACGCAATAATTATTTTATCTTTCAGAATATTTGCCCAAAGTCTCAAAACGTAAATTCTAATTCAAATTTTTTTATCGCTGAAAAGGTGATTTCAAAAAAACAATTCTTTTTAAATCACCTTTTTTGGGATTTTTTCATTCCGAAATATCTTTCCGTTATGAGCGCTTCGTCTCTCCGCGTGAATTATTCATACAATG